AGATTCAGCAGGGCACCCCATGATGGAACTTCTGAGTTTCTTCCCATTATTTTAAAAATTAAGTTAGACAAAGAGAAGCCCGTTATGTTGTTATGGTTGCAGAACTCAAGCGCTTCACTTATTAGGTAATGCTAACTTAAGGTTGCCTTTGTTGCCAGAATCTCACCATCTGAAAAGCAGTGATAAAAGTCCTATCTAACAGGAGTATTGTGAGGATTAATTGGGTATGCTTTGAAAAGTGCTACGTGGTTTTATCATGTGTTTCTATTTACTTTAGTTTTGATTCAAAAATCATAGAAATAAATTGGTGGGTTCCAAATGGGAAAAATATATGAAACATTATCTCCTTTCTTCTAAAGCCATGCTACAAGCTATTGAGGCTAAAACAAAATTTAAAGCACATGAAAGCATGGGGTTTTTTTTCATGTGAATGAATTTTTTCTTCCTTTGCTGAAAAAATGGAAGACCATATGCAAATATTGGGTCCCTGGCTTGCCTTTCTGTTTGAAGACTAATCTGCATTTGAGTTTTCCTAACCTCAAAGTGGTATTCTAAGAGAAGTGTTTATTGACAAGAACAACAAGCAACACACATTTTTCAGTTTAACATATTAAAAAAGAAAGTATCAAGAAACATGAGGCAAAAATGTGTTTGCCTTTCTGTCTCTTTTCTAATTGAGTGAGAAAAAATCACCTTGACAGAGGGGCAGTTAAAAGCTGGCATTCTCAGAGTTGTTAATTTGTCAGCCTGGTAGACACTGCATTTCATGAAAGCAGTAGTTAAATGCATGTCGCCTTCTTTGCCATTTTTGGAACATTACCATTTATATTCTTGTTGCAGAAGTTTTGTTAGCTTTATGGTCAGCTAGCATTGTCCATGTGAGCCGCTCTGCATACACACTCCCTTTTGGGATTTACATTTACATGGTAGCAATGCCTGTTGCTGACAGTGGAGCCAAGGCAATAACACTGCTCGCTCTTAATGGGAATACACAGACTTTCTGACACTTGTGTATATATGGGATCAAAACTCAACGTAGCACAGATTTGCCTAGGCTTTTTATTTTAACAAGCTATTACTTGTTTGTATTATTTGGGTGGTGTTGAAGGAGATATAGGGAACAGAAAGGCGCAATGGCACTGTTAGAGTTGCTGCCACGAAGGACAGACTTTTTGAAAAGAAATGTGTGTGCTGTGCCTCCGCTGGCATGGGGGACAGGAGGCTGGGATACTGCCGGTGAGCATCACTCTTTGTACCACAGTTGTGACATTCTGCACCAGCATCTGTGTTGCTGTGGATGGTATTTCCTTTTAAACTGTTCATTAGCTGCTCAGAATATCAGTCAGAGCAGGTAGTTAGGTCAAACATATTAATAGATGGTTAGTTAATTGTTACTGATTATTATGAAATTAAAATATTTTTAAAATAATGTTATAAATAAATTATTAAGCCTTTCCAGTGTAAACATACTATAGGGGGAAACAAGAAGTGCTGAACAGCTAACACAGAATAATAAAAAAATCTCAGTTCTGGAACAACACTATGTTTGCTTAATGTCTGCATTAGTTTAAAAGCAAAGGCAATTAAGACGAGAAGAAAGAAGAGAATGAATCTGTGCAGAATAAATCTCAGGTATACAAAAGTGAATATGATATTCATGTTCTCTCTCCCCAAGAAAAAGAGAGCCTGGCTTCTTTGTCCTAGTGTGACTGCAAGGAAAAAGGACACAGTTTTGCCTTTTGAAGTACAAAATATTTCTGAAAAATGCTTGAATCCCAGGGCAATGCATGAGAGGTAACACCTAACCCCCTGGGACCAGGCTAATGGTTCATAATCCTAGCAGTAGGGCTGACACCTGAGCCTGCTCAGAAAATGCTCGCCAAAAATCCTGCCCTGCTTCCGCATTTAGTCATCCTGAAGTGCTGAGCTAAGCACTTAGATGAGGCCCAGATTTCAGGTCTGAAATGTATGGCAACTTATTCATTATTTAGGTACAGGTGATTGGTCTGCTCTTTAAAGATACATGTAATATTTAGAGGAAGCCACCTTTTGTATAGTGGCCAAGAGATTAGAGCTCATATGCAGAACCAGGAGTCCAGGGCTCAGCATCCTTCTCAACCCCTTTCACCCCTCAGAGGAGTGCCTTCCCCACCAGGGCGCCTGGGCTCCACCTCAAGCCCCAGCCCATGGCACCCCACGGTGTTGCACAGGGCTGCGATTAGTCCAATATAAAGATCCCCCTTCGGCAGGGCAGCCCCAGCCTTGGATTCCCAACCTCGGAGCAGCTTGTGAATTTTGTGTTAGGGCGTAGCTGGAAGGGAGCAGGGCTGGAAGCCTCCCAGGGCAGCACTTCACTGAAAGGGAACTGAGTCATGCTCCCTTTTTGTTTGCTATCTCTGTAGCCCTATGAATTGTGCATTTCTTTCCACACAGTGGCACAGCTTCAGCTCCGACTCCCACTGCAGTTTTGCTTTGAGCCTGGTTGCTAGGAGATGGCAGCTCTGAGTTCAGGGCCCCTCCTCACCACAGCTAGCAAAGACCTTGCATCCCAAATTTTCCGCCTCTTCACCGTGTATTGCAACAAGGAGCCAGAACTCGGGTCTCCCACTTCTTGGCCATGTGCTCTAACACGTGGGCTGGTACGCACCCAGGTGCACCGAACACCCTTGCTGCGCCCTCCGGCCAGGCTGTGCTTGCTGTGCTCTGCTAGAAGCTCAGTGCATCAGCTCTGCAAGAAACTCACTGTCAGGTTTTCAGTGCACTAACTAGAGGGGCTCTGGAGGACATGTAAATTCAGGGACAGCAAATTTGTGGGTTCCGGACAGTCAGGATAAGGAGGCAGGCCCTGAGATACTCTGCTCAGCTATAGGAATTTGTCCCCTTTCCACTGCACCCCTTGAACACAGTCTAGTCCTTGATAAATTTGGAGAAGATCCCTTACTGATCTTCCTGAGAACAAAATAAGGCTCTGCGTGAGTCTGTGGCAGGAAGTATCATCTGGTTTTAGACATAAGGATACAGAACATCTCAGCCTTGAGAGTGTTAAAGATTTGGACGATGAGTTAAGCTTTTTTGCCAAGATAGAACTTTACTGTATAGCTTATGAATATTTTCTCAGAGAAAATAATACATTTGCTCTTATAAGAGACAGCAGTGACCTTTGGAGATAAAAGGTAAATGATATTAAAGTTGAATTCCTGGCAAAAATACATTGCAATTTTGGCCCTTTGTTTAAGGCTATTATTACTTAAGAAAATGCATAGGAGACCAGTTTGGCCAACTCTTTTAAAAATGCAAAGCTTTGCCTTGGCTCATGTTAGTGCCCAAGGGGCCCCATTCTGATTGTTTATGGAATTAATTATCTGATGGTTCAGTGTTCTGTATTAAATATTGAAATTTCTGTTAATAATATATATACCTTCTCCTGAGTCATCTCAGTTGTGGCCAAGTCTCTTTCACCAATAAATATCTACAAGACAGGGATATCTTCATCTTAGAAAAGTTGGTAGTGTCTTATTTGAGAGGTGGAGCCGATGATTGTTCCTAATGCAGACAGGAAAGCTGCTTCCCTTGTTGCTTCAGCACAGAGACTGGACACTGAACTATTTGATCCCTCTGTGCTGATATATTCATTCTTATTTTTAAGTAAACACTGTAAGAAAGGTTTGAGGTATTTTATAGCATTCTTAATAAGTTTAGTATATTTGGCAACCATAAAAGGGTTGTGCAGAAGAGAGAGGCATAAAATGGACAAAATCTTACGCAAAGGGGACATAATTCTAACAGATCATTTTTCAGTTAACTTCTCTGAAAAGGTCTGCAAACATTCTCACCTCTATTTTTTAAATACTGATCTTCCTTAGATCCATTTTATTTGAAATCACTGAAATATATTTTCATCAGATAAGAGTGTAAAATCAGGCCCATAAAAAAGTCTACAAGTTAAAAGAAACAAAGAAAAAGTTCAAATGCATTTGCAGACTAAATCAGAAATTCTGGCACTCAGGTCCCTGTGGTGGGCTGAGCAGTCACACACTGATAGTTTTCCTTGTTTCTAACTATTAAAACGCATTAAATCTTCTCTTAATGCCTTTCTTTTTTTCACCCGTGTCATTACTAAAGTTGCCACAGGGGCACTCTGTGATCATGAGTGGAGATGAGGTGCTCTAAGCAGTAGCTACGGTAAGTGCAGATGGGGGAAAATACACTTTCACCTGAAACATAGGGGAAAATTGGAGGGCTGTTGTGCTAAATCCTTTTAAATATTATGCAAGCATCTATGAGGCAAACAGGGAGCATTGAGGGGAACTCATGGTGTGCAAACAGTCGCTGCTCACACACAGATAACAAATGCTTTCAAGTCACATTTGTAGAGGCATCCTTACCACTTGGCCCTTGTGTGCATGGGCACAGCAACTGTTTGTACAATGTAGTTGTACAAGTATATTGTACAATAGAGGAATGGAATAAAACAGGATTTCCTATGTTTGCAGAGGGCCGAGTAAATGCTGTTTTATTCCATTCCTCTGTTCCTTCTGTCATTTCTGAGGCTGATACATCAAAAAAAGTAGTTGGTGCATTCTGTATTGTTTTGTCTTATCAAGAAAGATGGGATTTTCTGGCTCGGAACAGTCACTCCTGTAGTCAGAAAGTAATTTTTTCTATCCTTTCCCACGCTACTTCTGGACAGGGTTGGGTTTTGCAGGCAACTGTGAGCTCTTCAGGGTAAGAGGATGCATCTTCTGCTTTGACAAACAGTATGGTTGGCTTGTGGAGCACAAATAAATGAATATTCTCAGATTTGTAGGAAATCTGTGTTCTTGCTTATTTCCATTGTTTCTTTTCAGCTGATATTTGGTCAATCAGAAACACACCTGTGCTTGTTTAACATGTATTATACTTTTCTAAAAGCAATAGATGTGGAGTCTTAACAATGGAAAAGACCCTCTTGTGCAAGGCAATATGTAACGATAATTCAAAACCGTTCCTTGTTTTTGCAGGATGAGGCTGCTCCAGCTGACAAGCAGTACAAACAGGAGCCAGCCCAGGTCACTTACTCAACATCAGCTGTTTCCAGCTCACAGGAGGTGTTGTACATCAATGGCAATGGGACCTACAGTTACCATAGTTACAGAGGGCTCGGAGGTGGGCTGCTAAATCTCAACGATGCTTCTAGCAGTGGTGAGTTTCCTTATAAAATGTGCCTGTATGTATATGTGCTCATGTGTACGTTTCCCCCTGCTGTACAGAAAGCTAGTAGGTTCAATATCCATAGGCTATTATCAGATAATGAGCAGGAACACAATCCCGCAAGCAGCTACTGCTGAGCAAAATACTTGCTCACTGTATGCTAGTCTCCTTTCAGTTTCAAGGGACTAATTCACGATAGGGTGAGACCGAACCTGAAGACTCTAACAAAACTGAGTAAAAAAATGCCAGGTTAGATCTTCAGTCGATTTGCATGACTTTATGAGGACCTGCGCTGTCATTGTTGTCCTCTCCTATACTGACCACAAAATGAGGCCATTAGTATCTTCGTGGCTGGAGTTTGAAAACACTGAACTCCATATTTTGTAACACAAATGAATTGACCTAGATTTCTCACATGGTCTCTCTAGCTACTTTAGTTTACCGCAGATAAGGATCTGGCATACCAAGTGTTAAATGAGAAATCAGCATATCCATCTGTAAACTAAAAATGATGCAGGTAATTATGTGTCACCATGAGGTTGTATGCCCCTCTGAAAAAAACAGTGGTGTCGTTTATTTAGGCAACATTCCTTTCTTCTTACATTAGCAAGCTTTTGCAACAAACACATGTAAGCGAATGGTATTATTTGTTTGAAATAGTCCCCCGTATTGATTTTATACAAATTCAGAGCAAAGGAACAGGTTTGCCCATTCTGATAACAAGGGTATTGTCTGTCTGTCAGAGAAAAGTGATTACTCTGGAAGCCTGAGGGTCTCCTGCCTCCAAGAACGGTATTTAAAAAATGTCTCAGATGACAGAGAAATCCCTGGGTTTTTGTCCTGGCTGATCCCTCTCTGGCTGAGGAGAGTGCTGTTTCAGGTACATGGGCTGACTTAAGCAAGATGTTAATTGTTCAGCTACAGCCCCTATATTCAACATGCTAAGCAATTTTCAAAACACTATCAGGGCTGCAGCCTGCAAGGAGTTATTGGTATGGAGTGTCCTGGTGACCTTCAGTCATGTCTGCTTCCTCACCCCCCAGCCCCAAATTCCTCAAAGGTCTGTGAATTATTTGCATTAAGTTTTCAAAAGGCTTTAAAAAGATAATATTTTAGTTGTCAAAAGTCTTTGACTTAAAGAGAGTGAGTGATGATTACAATTGTTTCCATATGCATGAAAAACACATCTGAGGTACTGAATATGATCTCTGATCAAATATTTTCATAAGAGTAAGACAGGCCGTGGAAATCTGGTTTCTTGGGAAAATGCACAAGAACTTTAAAATTGTCTTTTACATTGTGGCCAGCGAAGATCCAAGCCAGTTCCCACTGAAAACAGTTGGCATTTGCTCTTTCACCCAACTAAGAGTAGGATTAGACTCCCCATGTGTTATTTGTCAGCAGAAGCCATCAGAATAGTCCTGTTTTACATAATCTTAAACTGTGAGGAAACACAACTGTTTTGTGTACTTGTTCTTCCCTTCAAACCTCTTGTAATAGGATACATTTTCATAACTCCCATTTTTCAGTGAATTGTGGGATTTAGGCAAAAGTATTCTATGTCACTTCAGCGTGCAATTTTAAAAGATGAGGTACAAATTCAACATCATAAACTAGTGTTGCTTTCTGATTAGAAGCAACATTTTCTTTGTACCTTTAACGTAGAGGACTCCAGTGTTTTTTCACAATTAAAGCTCAAGATGGGTTTTGCAGGGCAAACAGTGGTTGTTCAGGAACTGCCAGATGCTGCACAGCTAACGCAGCCAGGGAACTGTGCAGTGCACTGCATTTCCCTGTGTAGCATCACTGGGGTGAAGGCACAGGTGGATACTTACAGTTTGCATACTGACATATGCTCCAAGATTTATTCTTCCTTGACTTTCCCTA